GCTATCAGTTCCTCCATTTCTACACAATCTTTGGCCATACCAAGATGCTCCAAGCGCAACAGCCTCTCTGGTTCCAGAAACCCTGTGCCCGTGGGGAAACGGCCATCTTCAGGAGCGTAGAGAGGTGCAGCGCAGCCCCTTGGGTGTACAAGTTCTTTAATGTTTCTCAGCAAACTATTGGGGACAGTTGGAATGCAAGGCCAGGATGTCAGGATCTTATTCACGCCAGCATCATTCATATCCAGAGCACGAAGAATGAGGACATCACGATCAGGCACTGCCAGCTGAGCAAGATTGGGCAAAACAAGCTCACAGAGGAATCGTGCCCAATTGTAGGTGTTTGGCAACAGGACGTCCCCCTGGATGCAATCTCTGAAGTTCATCTTCACCCAATCTGGAACTGACACCGCCATCTTTGGCTCTGGCAAAAGTAAAGAGAAGACCCTGAAAGCTATAGGTTCCAGATGCTCCTGACAGGTAATGTCAGAATTGAGGATACAGGCATCCCGGGCTGGGCACCATCGCTGTCCATCAGAAAAGAGAACTGGCTGTTCCCCATCAACACCATTGACTAAGGCTTGGTAGAAGGCCTTGACTGTTTCACTGAATGGGTGCTTGGCAGTGCGCACGTCAGGCCAGAAAGCATGGTACTCATAGTCCTCCAGCAATCCTTCCTCGTACATGTCCCGGAGCAGGGACAGTGCTCCAAGCCAGGCACCCAGCACGGAATCCCGTAAGAGTGCCTTGTTCCATTTCCCTTTCTCAGTAGCTTCCCAGATTCCTTTGCGATTACTCTGCACAGCAAAGACTGCCGTGAGATGCAACGGGAGTCCAGTTTCAATAGGAAGAGGTAGAAAGCAGAAGGCACGGCCCTTAAAACCATCTACATCTGGAACCCATTTTCCAGCAGCAGTGGCGGGGCGGAGGGGCAAAGCAACGCTAGCAACAGGAGGCGAGAAATGGACGTCCTTCTCTTTTCCCTGTTCGAAGACCTGAAGGGCTTCTCCTTGAGCAGAGCAGGAGTGCAGCAGGTAATGGCTGGTGACCACACTCAACTTCCATGTTGCTGTCAACTGCACAATAGTGGACGTACCCATCCTGACAAGCGCTTTCCTGCTCACTGTGGCTAATGGCTGGGTGGTTTCTGGGGAACTGGAACCATGAGGAAGGTGGGTCAGTGACACCTCCTGCACTTTTCTCAGGAAGATCAGCAGGTACTTGTACATCTCCCGGAAACCAATTTGCAAGGATTTGATTCGACTGGGTCCAAACGGATCACAGCAGATCTGAGAGTCCTCTGCCTCCTCCTCAGTGCGGAAGGGCAGGCGGAGGAGCGTGCCTTGGTAATCATCTCCAGGTTGACAGCCAAAGATTCCTCTGAACGGTCGAAATTGTTCAGGAAATCCAGCAGCGACTTTTCGGTTCAATGTGAGACGCATGCCTGGTTGGCCTGCATTACGGATATGCTTCTGTAGGTGGGTGATGTTTGGGTCAAAGATGAGCATGGTGTGGCCACTGAGAAGAGAGGGCACATCAGTGATGTGGTAGACAGTGCAGAAGCCCAGCCCAAAGCGACCAATCTTGTCATCCTGCCGTTCCTTGGTAGCTGCACCTAGACGGATGATGTTGGAGAAATCTGTCTCGGTGAAGAACGCATCATTCTGGGCCCAAAGTGCGGGGCCCTGGCAGGCAGCCATGCCCGGGTCCAGGAGTCCTTCAGTGGTACCGTTATGCTCACGGAGATCGACTAGGAAGCGGCAAGTTTGGGCGCCAGCATCCTCAGCATTTTGCAGCAGTTCCAGGAACACATCTGCATCCTGGCTGTATTCACGAAGGATGTTACGGATCCGGAGGGTGATTGGCTCCGAAGGACCCCACGCCTGAGCCTCCAACACTTCCAAGCCTGAAAACCGTGTGCTTAGCATTTCCACACCATGGAAGGTAGCAGTGGCAGAGGAAACAGATTCATGCACCAAAGTAGGTGGGTCGCCATCCAGCTCAGCAAGGTGCGCCCGATCCATGTCACAGTACAGCACAGAACTGGCCGGGCGTAGAACAAAACCTGACAGTCCTTCAATCCGCACAGGCACTGGCATTTCCCTTTCTCCATGGTAGCCACGAGCGCACAGCCAGTCCAGGACAGCTATCACGAGGAGCAGTTCAGCATGCATGCCGCCTTGTGGTCGGGCATTGATTTGATCTGCCAACTTCTGCATTGCTTGGCACACTTCCTCCTCTTTTGGTAACTTATGGACCCCCCATGCTGCAAACAGCTGGCTGTAACCTTGGAAGTCCAGAGGCACTCGTGACATCAGGGCTGTAAGGTCTAAGCCATCAGGGTAGGCCAGCACCACATCTGCAGCCAAGGAGAAGCCAGTCCCATTCCACACCACAGGTCCCACAGGTGGCTTCTGGAAGTCCCTCAGGTGCTGTTGCATGTGCCGATAGATGCTGTGCAGCTTTGTAGTTAACACAAAGGCCTCCTCGGGGTGACATCCCTGTGCCAAGGCAGCTAGATTCTCCATCACTTTCTCTGGTGGAGGAGCGTTCTCCAGACCCAGTTCTTTTGCAGCTTCTGGCTGAAAAGCATTAGTCAGTCCCATGACCAGCCCAACAAGAGCAGCATACCTCTCCGAGCGAAGCAGTTCAGGTGCCAAGAAATCTCCAGCTGCCGCCAATGTGGAAGCGTTGGTGGCAGGCACCCAAGGCAGGGACCGCAGCCGCTTCAGCTCCTTTAAGGAGAAGCGTGAGAGTAGAGGAGTCTCATTGCAGACCCGGATGAGTGCCTGTGATTTGGCACTGGCATCTGCAGCCTCTTGCAGTTGACCAACTTCCTCCGCAGCCATCAATGCATCTGCTGGACAGACAGCACTGAGATCAGATTTCAGGCCCAGAACACGAAGGGTTCGCAGTGCTGCTGGCTCCCGGAAGGGCCCTGTGGGGAAGTGGCAAGGTCTCAATAAATCCTGCAAAGTGCGATTCTCTGGATCATAGAGGTCACTGGGCCTGCCCAACCTTCCTGATCCGCAATCCAGGAATGGCAGCTCACGACACAAAGTTTGCAGCTCTCGGCTCTGGCTGAAGAGGGAGTCCCCATTGTGCAGCACCCACAGCATGAGCCGCTTGGCTTCCTGTGCCCAACTGGCATATGCCCCCTTCTTCATCGCCTTGATGCACAGCAGGCACAGATCCGGCGTCCCCAGGAGCTTCTGCCCGATTAGCAAGAGCAGGTGGCGTTCAGCTTCATTATGACACAACAGCACAGGCTCTGGAGTTAGCAGATCCGAGGGCACTGGTGGAACCAGGTTCTTCTCTAAAGCCAGGTGGTGCTGGGCTGGCACCAAGCCAGACCTGGTGGGTGGAAGGAGGGAGGGCATCTTGAAGAAGAGCGGCAACTCAGTTAGGACTTCGGCTTCTTTGGGGGAAAGCGACGCAGCCGTGGAGAAAAAAGCACTCAGGCTCTTGATCTGGCAGGTGGGCAGAGATGCAACGCGACCAGCCACAGATGCCACCCCTAAATGGGCAAAGACCTGCAAGACACTCCCAGGCGTGGGTTCTAGGACGTACTCTCTCAGCTGGCGGTGGCACCATTCTGGCTGCCAGCTCCGGACCACAGTGCATCCCAGTCTCTCCAGAATGCCAGCCACTTCGTCCGGCAGACAACGCCCCTCATGGCTCTGGAACAGCAGAGTAGGCTGAGGCAGCAGCCGTGCCAATTGGATTCCACTGTGGGAGTTCTGTAGAGGAGTCAGTGGTATCAGGGGGCATCCCTTGAAGGGTGCCAGGGAGGGAGCATGGCGACTCAGGAAACTCCAGAAAGCAGAAAGCCACTCAAGCGGGGGCTGTTTTGGGTACTCCTTTGGGCACCAAGATACAGGAGCAGGGTTGCTGCTGACCCAGTCCTTAGGGAGAGATCCACGAAGGTTCTGCTCAATGACATTTTGATCCATGGAAACAAAGTTCCTGAATAACCCTGAATATGAGAGAGAGAGAGAGAGAGAGAGAGAGAGAGAAAGAAATCAGCAACCACCATTTGTGTGCACTTGCATTTCCTGTTGGGAGCAAAGTGGCTATGTATACACGACTTCTATGCCCAGCACTGAAAACTACTTTGGATGCAACTGAACTCCAATATGTATAGGTCTGTGAATGATTTGGTATCACAATGATGCTAGAGCACTGCTGAAGCAAAGTGAGCCTGAAACTGATCAGCGTACCAAAAACCAGCGTGGTGTAGTGATTACAGCAGGCAGATGCAAACTGTGGCCCATCAGATATTGCTGAACTACAACTCCCATCATCCCAGGCCATTGCCCATGATTAAGGGAGCTGGTGAAAGTTGTAGTTTGTCAACATCGAGAGGGCCAAATGTTGCCTGCCCCTGGATTAGAAAATAAGACTAAGGCAAAGGGGGACAACCTTCAGCCCTTGCTCTAATTTCATGCAGGTGGTGGAGGACGACCCAACAGAGAATGATGGAAGGGTGGCGGAATCCACTGCAAGCGATCAGATCAGACCTTTGACAAGAGTGATCCATCTCTACTGGTGGCTGGGGGGAAATGTTCCCCAACCCTGTGCTTAAGGGTTCAAATGCCCAAACTAGCTGTGAAGTTATGTTTACTTGGAGACAGCCACTCTACTGCTATTTGGTGTCACGCTCACTATCTTTCCACCTAATCTATTTTACAGTGTTGCTGGGAGGAGAAAATGGCACCTGTGTGTAAAAAGCATGTGTTTGTACATGGTAGAACATTTACACTGGTGGCAGCCAGCCTGGTGCCCTGTGGATGCTGTGGATTACCATCCCCATAATCTCTGACCGTTGGGCCATGCTGGCTGAGGCTGAAGGAAGTTGAAGTCTAGCATGGCCAGTGAAAATAGGAGTTGTAGTCTAACAGCATCTGAAGGACACCAGGGTGGGGAACCCATAAAACACCAGAAGCTGATCATGGTGCACCCAGGAAACTGAAAGTCTCACCCTTTTCTGCAATTGTTTGCAGATGCTTCAGCAGCTCAGGGTTTAGATCCTTGGGCAAGAACCGGTGAGCCAGGCCAGGCAACAGGATCCTGCAAAATCGGCAGAAAGAAACCACAGGTCAGTTACGAAGGACAAAGGCAGGGTGACAAAGAAAAGGGATGTACTATGGAACAAGCAGCCAGTTAATGCCACTGGTTTATTTATGGGGCTAACCATTTTAGGGAATCAAAGAAATGCAGCATGGGCCTCTTTATCCTGTAGGGCAGTATTTCTCAGAGTGAAAACTGGGTCTCAAAGAAGTGCAGGCTGGCGCTAGGGGAGACACTGAGCCAAACTATGCATATGAAAACAGTGCATAAAGGCCTCTGTCTCTTGGTTTGGTGCAATGTCTGAAATGAGCCATAGTGAAGACATTTGTGAACTGCCTTGCAAGGTGTGTATGTGTGCATGTGCACATGCATGCATTAACCATTATGCAAGTCCATTAATTGGAACATCTAATAGGGAGAGGACATTTCACTGTGGTAGGGCGAAAAGGACAATGTTGGTTTACCCTGGGGATCATATGTGGCAAGACTGCTCACCTGGGGAAGTTGTGGTTCTCGAGGAAGACCGTCTCTCCAGAATCTCCAAAGCAGGTAAAGTTTCCATTGGCTGTCGGCAGCAGCGGCAGATTCTTCAGCTCCTGGTAACACCCATCTCCAACCAAGTACTCCAACAGCAACTGTTTCTCTGTCAAGGATATCCCATGCCACACACTGGTAGTCCGTCGCAGGGTCTCCCTGACAAACTTCGGTGTGGCCTCTTGCACCGCTGCCCTGCCTTTGGCACCCCACACCAAAGCTCGGCGCACATGGAGAGGAGCAGCTGCAAGCGGTGATCCTGCCAAAATGAGGGCCTTCTCCAGGGCCTTCTCTACTGGTTTGCCACTCACTACCTCTGGCAAGATCACGGCTTTGCAGGGGTGGAGCAAACGAGGTTCCCCATCCCCGACTCGTACCAAGAGTTTCATGTCCATCAGTGTCTGGCATATCTGAACCACTAAAGGCTTGTATCGGAGTTGTTGGCTTTGGTCTGGGTCTGGCCACGCCCCATATGGGTTGTCCGGACAGGTAGATGCCAGCAGTACCATTTGGCAATAAGCAACAGGCAACATCTCCTCCATAAGCAAGTGGTTCCAACGACCATCGGCTCCCCTCGCCTGGGACCCCTCTTCAGACCACTGCACGTGTCTTCGGTCATCTGTCAGCTGGAAAGGGGCACTGATGTGCAGTGGCAATCCAGTGGTGTTTTCCTCTGTGGCCGGGAGCGGCAGGACGCAGCTGAGGCGTCCCATGCACTTGTCTTGCAAACAGTAAGCCAAGGACAACACAGGCTTAGAGCTGACCTTCACTGCGAGTTCCCACAGTTCTGGGAAGGCATCCTTTTTCGCTTCAGCAGACAACACAAGCCAGTTGCACTTGCTGGCCTGCCCAGTCCCAGTGCCACATAGAGTAAGTGTTTTGATGTGGACACCCATGTCCAGTTTAGTGCCCATAGCATCATCAACAAGGTTTGCCTTTCCACTACTGCATTCTGCAACTTCCAGCACACCTTGGCTCATGCCCAACCCATTAAATGGGCGAGTGGTGGCCTCAGCCTTCAGCAGCTCACGGATGGCACCATCGGACTCAATGAGACCCAACGTCAGTTTCTTGATGTTCCTGAGGAACAGCAAACTAATGGGGGCATCATTCATGAACGAGAGCAGCAGTTTCTGCACCCGTTCTGGACTGTAGAGATTTTCTGAGATCTTCGATGGACTCTGTCGTAGCGGGAAGCGAAACAGGGTGCCTGGAAAGCGGCCCTCCGCAGTTGGGCAAGGCTGGCCCAGAGACTTCAGTGCTGCCCAGAATGGTTGGAACTGGTCGGATGCCTCTTCCCATTCACTCACCTCCCAGAGCTGACCCCCGTCATGTAATGCCATCTGCTGTGGGTCCAGCACCCCCAAACATTCATCAGAAAGTATAGATGGGAAATCTAAACAGAGTGAAGGGAAGGAATTCAGCCATTAAAATGTGGTTGCCCCAGACTTGGTTCCTTTCCCCCTTCATGCTCCTATTTCAATTCATCCTTATCTCTCTCAATTTCCCCCATCTCAATGATGGCATTAGGCATATTTCACTGGGGAGAGCATTCTACAAATGGGGAGCCACTGTTGAGAAAGCCCATTCTCCCATTCCCTCCCCCTCAGAAGAAGTACACAGACAAAGGTCCCTGAGGATGATTGAGGGGCCAGGTATGCCGATGTGAGGAGAGAGAGGTGGTCCCTGAGGTCTTGGGGTCCTGAGCTGTCTTCTAGGCCTTTTCCCTATAATTCTTATGCCTTCCTCCCAAAGACATCTTGTTTTGAAGACTGACTATCTCCCAAATTGAGCCAGGCAGAACTTCTCACCTGTGATATGGTAAACTGAATTGAAGCCCAAGCCAAAGCGTCCAACTGTAGAAGGGTCATCCTCCTTGTGACTGATGCCTGGGCTCTGGATCCCTTCCCAGTCAGCCTCAGAGAATAGACCGTTGTTATAGGCAAGAAGCGCAGGGCCTGAAAAAGAGAAATGTGGTCATGCAATTTTTACTCAAGTGCCTTGATGATGGTTTGATTCACAGTGTCACTCCCAAGCCAAATTTGACATGGCACAATGTCTGAATTGCAAACTAGGGTTTGTGATCGGCCAGCAAACCAAAACAGAAATCATGATTGAACGTTTTGTGGCACGAGATCCTGTCTAATGTAGCAAACCGTGGTAACAGCCACCTCCAGAGGCTGTGGCACCAGAGAGATTGGAGCAGGCTAATAAACCTGATTGCTATCAGAAGCAGACCAGGTCCTATAAACAAGGGCTGGAGAGCCCTGCCACCATCCCTGACCATTGGCTATAATCACTGGGACTGATGGGAGTTGGAGTTCAACTATATCTGGAGAGCCACAGCCCCCCCCCCAATCTCTTTTCTAGATTAAGATTTCTGCAAACCATGATGTGATACTGGAATAGAGCCAATATATTGAACATACTGGAGGCGCACTCTCAGGTACCCACATCATTTGTTTAAAGCACATTTATACGATTTTAACAGTCATTGTGAGACAGGAGGAATCTGCTCCGTGGGAATCTGCGTCTGGCCACCACGGCGAAGGTGGAGACCCGTTAAAATCACAGGCGGGAGAAGCCTGTGAACGTGGGATTCGGTGGGCACCTTTTGCGCCCCCTCCCACTCGCGGGGAACCCCGGTTTTTTGGGGCTCCGGAGCGACGTGGGGTGAGCGGCGCGGTGCATTGAATCGTCTGCTTCTTCCACGGAGCGAAGCCGCATAGCTGTTGCCGGAGAGTGCTGACCTTTTCCTGTGGACAATTTGATTTTAAAGTAATTACCCGTGAGTAGATCTGAAACGGAAGAATTGGATTTCTAAATGTTTAATTTGGTATCGCAACAGGGAGGTTCAAAACAGGAAGTCCGCCTTCCCCTTTTGTAAATAGACTGAGGCAATGAAGTTGCAAGCTGGAGTCCTGGAAGGTCTTTTGTAAAAGATTAAATTTCCAACGGTAAAGAACATTAAGCCCCCCCTTGGAGGCAGGAGAAGAGAGGGGGGAGTTGCGGATTGAATATGCCCGCGGGAGAGAGTGAAGAGACTTAAAACACCGCCGCTCTGACCCTGGAAACGGGCTGCTAGTAGGACTGACGTCTTTTGGAATGTTCATTGACAGCGTTTAGAACGTTCATTGACAGCTAGCTAAATAAGAGAAATACATTGTCTCTACTGTCTCCGGCTGCTTTAAAAAGGAGTAAACGTAACTGAAAATTGTAACTAATTTGAAACTAATCTTGGATTGTTTAAAAGGGAGGTGTGAGGTGGTCGTGGAAATAAGGGAATGAAAAATAAGACATTGAAATTGTTTTGTGTTTGAAATGGTTTGTCTTGCTTTGTTAGTTCTATGTTTTCCTTTTTTTCCTTTTTTTGTTCTTTCTTTTTTTGTTTTTCTGTTTTGCTGTGTTTAAACTGTTGAAAATTAATAAATATTATTTTAAAAAAACAAAACGGTCATTGTGAGAGCATATAAGGCCAGTGTTCTCCATCTATCCCAAAATGGATATTGTAGCACAGAAATGAGAATGTGGGAAACTACTGTACAGTGGCCAGCCATATTTCCCTCCCACAAGGCACCTGGAAGGACACTACATCATGGCAACTTTCCTTGGATGCATTGTGGGACGAAATGGCCCCAAAGTAGAGGAAGTTCTCTGCTGCCTTCCCGGGCACAAAGAATCATTCTGGTCAATATAAGAAGAACTTAGAGAAGCCTTGGCTACTGACTGCTAAGAAGGAAGCCTTTGACCCTTGAAAGCATCCCTGAAAAATTATGATGAATTTCACCCAGCCAACTTCCTCCCTGTAGGAGACATTGTGATTTCTCTGCTGGGCCCCCCAGAGCACCCACCATTGGGAGGTGTCTAATCCATACCTTGGGTGCTTGCCAGCCCCTCTGAGAAAAGGCTCTGAGTTCCAAAACTCCGTGCATCATAGAGCAAGATCACCTCTTCAGCGCCCGCATCATCTGCATTTTGGATCAGCTCCTTCAAGAAGAAGAAGAGAATGAGAGTAGGAACAAAGGCCAGGGGTCAACACAAACAGACTGTGGAAATTGCTACATGGATGCCAGTCCCACATTCCATAAACTGCTAGACATATACAGGGGTCGTCAATATCACCCCTTTCAAACTTTACCTATTTAGAAAAGTGAGGACAAGCCATCTCCTTGCTGCTGTGTCTGTCCCGCATCTGTAAAGGCTGGGAGACCTGGCAGGCTTCTTTGCTGCAAATCTGCACCTTCTTTAATACTGCACTAGAACTGGCCATTCTGATGTTTTTGGCATCCTTCTTTGGTACCCCTGCACCCAACCACTCCCACAAGCCGTCCTTTGGGCCTGCGCTTCAGAACAGCTTCCTGCTCTAAACTTACAGTCTTCTCTTCCCCAAAAATCCGGGTGTTTGGCTGCCTCCTCTCTGGGAACACGCAAGTTGTTCAAGCCCTACTTAAAATGCAATCCATGTGAAATGCCTTTGCTCTCAAAAATGGCAAATGCGAAAAGCCCAGGCCCAGTGCTTAAAAAACTTACTTTTAAGATCTGACCCCCATCTGGGTACTTGCGGAGGATACCCTGCAAGTATTTGAGGACAGGAGGTGATTTTTGTCGAAAGCCCTTCCTGAAAGAAAGGCAGACGGTTACAGTAGTTAGAGTCTATGAATAGAAACAGAGAGACTTCAGTCTAAACAGGACCAGGCTGTGGGGTGGGGTGGTGCACCTGGGCAACCTTGAGCTCACTGCCGACCTGCCCAACCCTTGCACTGCCCAAGTAAACTGTAGCAATGGTGTAGCTACAGTAACCGGGGTGGAGGAAGGGGGGCCGGTCCACCCCAGGTGTCATCACTGAGGGGGTTGATGTTCGGCACACTGCCCGCCCACAACTCCCAAGCATATCCCAAGCCATCAGGGGAAGGGGCAGAGCTGCGCCGCCTTGCCAGCGGCCTTCCCCCCTTCCCCCTTTGTTTTGACAGCTCGAAGGAGGCTTGGGAGTTGCGGATGATCAGCTCGCCATTGCCCCCCCCGCCTCCTTTTGGGGGAGCCTCTCCTGAGCTGTCAAAAGGAAGAGGGAAGGGAGGAAGGCTGCTGGCAAAGCGGCGTGGCTGCCTCCCTGCCCCCACCCTGCCCAGGAAGCAACCTGCCACGGGTGGCTTGCTTCGCCCCCCTAGGTGTCTCGCCCCCTGGGACGCTTGGCGCAGGCGGCGCCCCCCTGGGACACTCGCCCTGCCCCCTGGGTGCACAACATGTGCGCAGCTCCTGGTGCCGCAGCAGCTAGCTCCACCTCTGTGAGAGCCATGTGAGAGCCACATTCCCAGTCGTGTGTGTAGCCACCAAATGCACAATAATACTAGCATACACAGGTGTACATGCATATACAGAGAGAGACAGAGAGATGTATTAACATGCACAGCAACTGGGGTTGAAAAAAGCCTTCTAACTTTTAGCAAGCCTAATTGCCAGGAGAGAGAAAGAAAGAGATTCCTGGAAATCTCAGCTGAGAAGAGAGATGGGTTAACCCTTCCCTCTCCAACTGCACTCTCTCCGAAGATCATCCCTTTCATACAACCATTATGGAAAAAGAAGACTTCTTTGAAAAGACATTGTGGAGGGTTTATTAAGTGGGGAGAGAAAAGGATTAATCACGCTTCTGGACCCAGCTGCAAACCCACCACCCTAAAAACAACACAACCCAATTGAGCTTGGGGAAAAGCTTACTGTTGGCTACAATAGAAGGCCTTTGCAACCTTAAGTTTAGCAGGGGTGAGAAACACTATAAACAGAATAAGGAGGCATCTGGCCCATGGTCCAAAGGTTCCTAACTCCTAGTTTAAATCCTCACTCTGCTGTTGGGTCTGTGTGCAGGTTTCCCTCCTGAGTGACACTGCATTGTTGTGGCATCTGCCTGGACAATTTAGTATTCAAAGGACCCTGGGCTGCCACTACTGACCCAGCTTGGCTATTGGATCCTACTGGCCAGCAAAAACTGTAAGTGAACTTCTTGTTCCAGGTAAGCCTTGTTCAAGGCTTGTCTCCCTGACATCTCAAGTATTATTATTATTATTATTATTATTATTATTATTATTATTATTATTATTATACAGTGGTAGCTCGGGTTAAGTACTTAATTTGTTCCGGAGGTCCATTCTTAACCTGAAACTGTTCTTAACCTGAAGCACCACTTTAGCTAATGGGGCCTCCTGCTGGTGCAGCGCTGCCAGAGCACAATTTCTGTTCTCATCCTGAAGCAAAGTTCTTAACCCGAGGTACTATTTCTGGGTTAGCGGAGTCTGTAACCTGAAGTGTGTGTAACCTGAAGCATATGTAACCCGAGGTACCACTGTACCCTATACCCAGAGGTCTGTAGCCTTTTGTTCCTAACTTGCTTCTTCATCCTGCCTCCTCATTTAACTTTTGGTTCTCACAACAAGCTCTCACCACAGTCTCCTGCCCACAGCCTAACCCTCAGAGCCACAGGGCTCACTGGGTGACCTTGGGCCAGTTCTTCACACACTCGGTCTAGCTCTGAGCTCCTTGGAGGAAGAGTCAGCAATGTTTTAAGCAAGGTGTTATCAGATCCCAGATAGTTTTGGTTCTAACTAAACATCAGAAAGAACCCTCTGGTGGTAAGAGCTGTTTGACATTGGAACAGTCTCCCTCGGGAGATGGTGGACTCTCCTTCCTTGGAGGTTTTTAATCAGAGTTGGATGGCCACCTGTCATGGATGCCTTAGCTGAGATCCCTGCATGGCAGGGGGTTGGACTAGATGACCCTTTAGGTCCCTTTCAACTCTACAGTTCTATGATCAGCACATCCAGCACAGTCTCACTAGCATTTTTTTGTCCATGAGAAATCCCATGGATACACACGCACTGCATTTCTCACCTCTTCTTCTGCCCCTGAGACATGTTGATACCTGCAAAAGTGAGGAGAAAAATGCAGAATGAGGAAAAAACTGAGTGTATAATCTCACCAATACAATTTGCACATTGGTCCCCACTGAACAAAAAAAGAGCTCATAAACTATTGTTCCTTCTGTAAATGGACATTTTTTAACAAAACAGACAAGAGGAATCACTTACCATGATGTTACAAACACTCCAACCCCCCCCACTCATCTCTCATCAAAGGGATTTTGGAACAATAGAAAACCCTGCCAGGCTGCAGTTTGTTATGTGTGCTGGAAACTGTAGCTTATGTGAGGAAGAAACTACAGTTCCCAGGATTCTTTGGGGGAAACCAGGTGCTTTAAATGTATGGTAAGGATGTGACTTCTGTTACCAAAGGCAAAAGCAAACAGTCCAAGCCTGCCACAAGCAGTGTGGCATCTTTCTCTGTCATCTGCTTCCAATCTAAAACACGTTTACTAAATTATTATTACTGTAACTTATAAAATTTGTAGGTCGCTCTGTACCTGCAGGTCTCAGGGCAGTTCACAGGATAAAATCACAATATAAAAACACAAAGTACATAATCAAAATCAAAACAAAACCCAATAACCCCTCACAACACAATTTAAAATTAAGTCATTTTAAGCCATTGGGACCAACTCACTTTAGGGTAAGCTTACTTACTCAGAGAGGGCAAATTTCATTTAGTTTCCTGCTTGGCAGGGGGTTGGACTCGATGGCCCTTGTGGTCTCTTCCAACTCTATGATTCTATGATTCTACTTAAGATTGACTGTGATCTGGAATGTGCTTTTGTTTTCAACAGACTGTGCAACAATTCCATGAGGTGGACAGGAAAGGTTGCTGATATTTATTTAAACCACTATTTTGCCAGATATACATTTAAGCCACTATTATACCACTTTAACAGTCGTGGCTTCCCCCAAAGATTCCTGGAAACTGTAGTTGGTTAAGGGTGCTGAGGGTTGTTAGGAACCTCTAATTCCCTTCACAGGAGGACAATTGCCAGAGTTCTCTGGGAAGAGGGGTTTATTGTTAAATTTGAGATCTGTAGCTCTGTGAAGGGAACAGGGGTCTCCTAACAACTCTCAGCACCTTATCAAGTTCCTTGAACTCTTGCCAACTCCCAGTTCTTGTCCTGTGTCAGTTCATCTTTTATTCATTTTCTTATGCAGGCATACAACCTTTTTACTATTTCTTATAGTTATTGTTTATTAAATTAAAACCTTTGACACCAAACACGTTCCAAAGATTACAAAATAAAATGAACCTACAAATAAACTAGACCAGTGTTTCCCAACCTTGGGCCTCCAGCTGTTTTTGAACTACAATTCCCATCATCCCTGACCACTGGTCTTGCTAGCTAGGGATGATGGGAGTTGTAGTCCAAAAACAGCTGGAGGCCCAAGGTTGGGAAATACTGAACTAGACAGTGTATACAAAGAATCAAGCCTGCACTGTTCTTTTCCTGAGAGTGTGTTGCCTTTGAACAAATAAAAGTTACATAATCCAGATATTTCTAAAGACCAGTGGCATAGATTTCACACCACCTTTCTTGTGTACATAATAAAAGGCCACCAAAAATGTCTCTCTTTTTTACCCTAGGTCAAACGTACCCTTATCAATACGTCAATTAACATGATTTCCCATGCTGTGTTGTACTATTTTGCTGTGTTTCAACTCTTGTAAGTCCCCCCCTCCAAATCTCATCACTTAGATTCTTGGAGCCCCACCAATAACTTGTTTATGTAAGCTTTTCTGATTTCCCCCTGTAATAACAGATCCAGGTCAGGTGCTTTGGGGATCCCTTCCCTGCCCCCCAGGGGCGCCGACTTATAAAAAATATTGGGGGGGCCCATACTGGCGGCAGGATGGCAGTGGTGCTTTTGCATGCAAGAACCGGCCTGCCCTCCCCAGGTTTTGCGCCGGGAGGCGGCCACCCCCTTCTACCAACGTCACCTTAGCCGAACCCAGAAAAAAGCCCCGCTCCGGCAACGGGAACTCCCGTCCCCTCCATTCTCCCCTCACCCCGGTCCCTCGGCCCCGCGGCTCCATTCCTTTCTAAATTCCCGCCGCTGGGGGTCTTCCTCTGACTGACCGACCTGCCCGCCTCTTCTCAGGAGCTCCCGGTCACTTTGGGAGGCGCGCGCCGGAGTCCCCTGCGCGGTTTTTGGCAAGGTGCCTAATAATTTTCTTAAAATTAATGGGGGGGCAGAGCCCCCCAAACGAATTTTTGAGGGGGCTCGGGCCCCCTCAGGCCCCATGGAGTCGGCGCCTATGCTGCCCCCCCCGACAATTACTGCTGAGGTTTCATTAAAAATCTTTCCCCAAAATTTGGCAACATACTTACAATCCCACCACATATAAGATCCAACTCCCCAACATCCCCTCCAACAAAACTTTTTAATTTTTTTTAATTGTTACAGCCTAAAAGGTGTTAAAAATCACTTCTGCATATTTTAAAGTGATGTTTCCCTAAATTATACTGAAGTATTATTGTATGGGAACTTTCCTCCCAAGGCTTTCCACTGTTCACCTCCTAATATTCCTGTCTTTTCTCATGTTTCTCAGTCCAGCTGCATTTTGCTTAACCTAGCAGAGTGGACCCTACTAATAATTTATCAAATATCCCTGCATCATTTCAAACTACAGACCCAACTGCAAACTTGTTCAGCTCCCCCAATTTTAAGGGGAGCACTTTGGAAGAATGGATCACAAACACGTTAAGGGGAAGAGACACATCCCCTGGTCATCAAAGGCCACTGAGGTAATTTGGTTCACTCCTTTTCAGCCATCAAGACAGCCAAACACACAATAAACAACACATTTACAGAGCCAGAACACAATGGAAGCACATGATCCGTTACAACTATTGCAGAATCATCATTTCCGGAGAAATTTTTGTGTTTCCTACCAAGAGTTGATAAGAGAGGATGTGCTCTGACTGAAACCTTTTTTTCAGCCCAAAGTCCACATTCTGGGCATCACATGCCTGTGGGGCATGGCAAGAAGCAAAAAGTGGACAGAGAAATGAGTGTGCCTCTTACCCTCATCAAGAAGGAAACATCCCAGCAAACTCAACGCTAGAGGTTTCTAGATGGACACAAACTTATATATCTATGCAAACAAAAGGCATTATCAAAAATGTTCAAGGACACCTTCCAAGCCAGCCAAAAACAATGGAGGAGGATGCAGAGTCCAGATGGTGTCTGGGGTGAGTGTCAAGAAAGCAAAGGGGAGGGGTTTACATTTGTAGATTCCCAACTACAGCTTTATAGGAATTGCTTGGGTACCAGAACAGTGGGGCTGCTCACTTGCCACCTCACATTCTTCAGCCTTTCTTTTAATTGCTATATGCAAGGAAACAAAATTCATTCAAGTGACAAGGCCTTCCCTGATTATCACTGCATCCAGACAGTAGGGAAAGTTTCGCCTTTTGAATGCCTGCCAGCCAGGCCAACTAGACGCAGGAGGTTCCCCAGAATGCAAAACGGTGGTAATTTCACGCAGTACCATTTAGAATACAGCCATATTTGTATTTCTACTGCATAGTCACACTCTAAGCCAAGTCTACACTAGGAGAGTGAGGTCTAAGAGCCCAGCACTGCACCGTTTTAGTCGACAAGGCTAAACGTCAAGGCAAGTCGACGTTTTAACTTTCCCTCCCAAGTTTTATAAAAAGAAAAGGCAAGTTCCCTGCAAGTAGAAATTAGAGCGATATATTTTTCTCCCCCTCCCGAAGTATTAGCTTTTTACTTCTGCGGGGAATTTGCTAGGTGAGGAAAACCTCAAAAGCGATGGCTCACAGACGCCAATCTCTCAGCCTGGCCTGTTGGGAGGATAAAATGCGAAAGAGGCACCTTGCGCTCTTTGGAGGAAAGGTGGGCTAGAAGTGTCTGTATTAACTAAGCAAATGTGTTTAGGATCAGAGCATTTCGCTGTGTTTCCAAAGACGCTCGTACTTCTTCTAAGCCTGTTTAAACCCCGTTACTCCTCCCAAAGAACCCAGGAGTCCTGTTGAATCGGTCCCCATCACCTGCGGTCTGTTATTACTCACCGCGTCTCTTGGAAGATGCAGGTGCGAAGATCCCCGCGCAGCTTCCCGGCCGACGGTGACTAAAGAGCAAAAGAGGTCCGCTGCCCTACCTCGCCTCAAGGCGGATGGCCGGGGAAGCAGCGGCTACTGCGCTTTAAAGATGCCAGTCGCTTTCGATTCCAGCGAAATGGAAACCGAAAGCGATTTCGCTCCGTTTGGGAAAGAGGCGGGGAATGTCTCGGAGCTGAGGAGTGGGGCGGGCACTTTTAGAGGGGGATGTGGGGCAAAGATGGTGGGCATTCAGCCCCAAAGGCTGAAAGGTGAAAGCGTCTGTATCTGATACACTACAGACGGGAGTGGCCAAAATCGAGCCCACCCAGAGACAGCTGTAGTTGGCAGGATTCCTGTCTTGCAAGGGGGTTGGGCTAGATGACCCTTTGGGGTCCCTTCCGACTTTTCGATTCTAGGATCCTTGTGATCTACGATCCCTAAGTTACGGCTGGCTCCAGAGAGACAGATATGGAAATGCCTCCCCTGCTGCCTCAGCGAAAGTGCGTAGTAACTATAGCGGCAGCTCTCACAAGGAAGTCCCACTGAATTCAACAGAGCTTACTGCCAGACAAGCTGGTGTTAGGATTGTAGAACGAGTCTTTGGGTTACTTTGGCACATACGGTGCATTGAAATCATATGTCTTCTTCTACAAAGAATCCTGGGAACCATAGTTTGTAAGAGGTGCTGGAAATTGTAGCTCTGGAGGAGGAAAAATACAGTTCCCAGGATTAGGGGACGCAATAACTATTAAAAGTGGTGTAAAGCTGTCTGCAGTAGGGTGGACTTGGAGGTCCCTACCAACTCTTAATACTGATTCTCACATACCCCTGTTCTCTTCCAAAGAAGCACAACCAACCCATTGGGTTTGATACTCGCTATCATAGCAGATAATATGAGGCATACTGATGCCTGTTGTGCCATTTGAGTTGGTCGATAGATGTTTGGATGCATGTCTGAAAATCAATGGAGATGATTGGGTGTACATCTGAAAATCAATAAAGATGATTTGAAAATAGTGCAACCAAGCAATCCACATTCCCTCTCCAAGAATCCTGGGAATTGTTGCCCCTTTTGTTGTTGTTTAGTCTTTTAGTCGTGTCCGACACTTCGTGACCCCCTAGAACAGAGCACGCCAGGCACTCCTGTCTTCCACTGCCTCCCACAGTTTGGTCAAACTCATGCTGGTCGCTTTGAGAACACTGTCCCACCATGTAGTCCCCTTCTCCTTGTGCCCTCAATCTTTCCCAACATCAGGGTCTTTTCCAGGGAGTCTTCTCATGAGGTGGCCAAAGTATTGGAGCCTCAGCTTCAGGATCTGTCCTTCCAGTGAGGACTCAGGGCTGATTTCCTTCAGAATGAATAGGTTTGATCTTCTTGCAGTCCACGGGACTCTCAAGAGTCTCCTCCAGCACCATAATTCAAAAGCATCAATTATTCGGCGATCAGCCTTCTTTATGGTCCAGCTCTCACTTCCATACATCACTAGTGGAAAAACCATAGCTTTTACTATACGGACCTTTGTTGGCAAGGTGATGTCTTTGCTTTTTAAGATGCTGTCTAGGTTTGTCATTGCTTTTCTCCCAATAAGCAGGCGTCTTTTAATTTCGTGACTGCTGTCACCATCTGCAGTGATCATGGAGCCCAAGAAAGTAAAATCTCTCACTGCATCCATTTCTTCCCCTTCTATTTGCCAGGAGGTGATGGTCCCAGTGGCCATGATCTTTGTTTTTTTGATGTTGAGCTTCAAACCATATTTTGTGCTCTCCTCTTTCACCCTCATTAAAAGGTTCTTTAATTCCTCCTCACTTTCTGCCAAGGTTGTGTCATCTGCACATCTGAAGTTGTTCGTATTTCTTCCGGCAATCTTAATTCCGGCTTGGGGTTCATCCAGCCCAGCCTTTCGCATGATGAATTCTGCATATAAGTTAAATAAGCAGGGAGACAATATACAGCCTTGTTGTACTCCTTTCCCAATTTTGAACCAATCAGTTATTCCATATCCAGTTACACCTTATGAACTACAATTCCCAGCACTCTTAACAAACCCCAAGGGTCATTGAGTCCAACCCCTGGCAATGCAGGAATCTCAGCTAAAGCATTCATGACAGAGGGCCACCCAACTTCTGCTTAAAAATCTCCAAGGAAGGAGAGTCCACAACCTCTCGAGGGAGACTGTTCCACTGTTGAACAGCTCTTACTGTCAGAAGGTTCTTCCTGGTGTTTAGCTGAAATCTCCTTTCTTGTAACTTGAAGCCATTGGTTCGAGTTCTGCCCTCCAGAGCAGGAGAAAACAAGCTTGCTCCACGTGACAGCCCTTAAGTTCAAGATGACTATCATATGAGAAGCAACTTTGATATTTCCTTTAGTCTCTGCCTTCTAATCTGTTGGTTCTGTTATGGCTATTAAGTATGGACAGGTGCAGATTGCTGTGCCTGCAACTTGGTGTTTTGTTTTGTTTTTAACGACGCCTCCCCACCAAGAAGAGTGCAAAAGCACACAGTTTGGCAATTGTGAATTCGCAGTTCCCTGGTTTTGATCAAATCAGGAGAGATAAAAAGTGAGGGATATTCCTCCCTTCCCGAGCACATCAGAAATATTTAGAAGCACAGCCAAAACAGAAATGAAAGCTTTGAGGTGTGTGCAGGCATGGAAAAGAGAAAAGCAGAAAATGACAATTGGTTCACATACCCCGAGTGGAGTGTTTAGGAGCCTGATGTTCCCCCAAAATATCAGATTATCATCATATCAGGCATGGGCATAGGCGGGGGGGCAGCTGTCCCCCCCAATGAATAAAAATAAATAAAAATATAGACCTGCTTCCCCCCCCCAACAAAAGGCCTCGCTGCACCCATGATATCAGGTAATCCCAAATTTAGGGGGGGGAGCATCAGGATTGGTGTTTTTTGAGGACTATGGATGTGGGCTATGCAAATTAAATGGGACAAGCCCAAGACCTTCACAGAACTTAAGTTTCTTATCTTTCTAGTGTTAAAGGAAACTGCTGCAAAGGTTAAGTCCACATGCATATTTTTTTCTGCAGAAGTGAAAGTTTCATTTCTCAGCTTGCAAGTCGGAGAACAGAAACCAATAGTGCTGCAGTCTTGCTTCATCGGTGGAAATAGGCTAGACATGAGACTGGAGGCGAACCAGCTGGGCTACTGGCCCCAGCCAGGATGTGTAAGATAGGGCCCTTTGCCCTCCTTCTTAAACAGAGGGTCTTTCTTTCATCTCTAGCTGGAGAAGCCAGGGATTGAACTTGGGACCTTCTACAAGTACTTGTAAAGCAGTTGCCTTACCACTGAGCCATGTCTTTATGTTACCACCTGAGTGTTGTAAATAATGGGTTGACTCTGGCGCAGGCACTGTAATACTGGTTGGCATCTGTCTGTCTCTACAGACAATGGAGTGTGCCACTGAGGGTGAAGTCAATCTGCGGTGTTAGCAGCACTGCAGTGCTTGGTTTCCTGCACCAGCACTGGGGTTGACTAGAGACTTTTGAGGCCCTTTCCAATTTTATTATCTGTGTGCCGACACATAATAGAGAAGAAAATGACCTGTCCCTGACCCCAAGAAGTTTGCATCCTATGAAGCAACATTTGGGGAAAGAAGGGAAGGACACTGAGACTAAGGATGTGGAGGAAGCTCTCGGGAAGTTGCTGCAACCTGGCCTGGATTTTAAGCAAGTACATGCCCTCCAACATTTCTCTGATGAAAATAGGGACGTCCCATTCCATAATGATAATTTGACTATTTATACCCCACAGAGCTTATTGGGTTGCCCCAGCACTCTGGGCAGCTTCCAACATATACTGTATAAAAACATAACAAAACATTAAACATTACAAAACTTCCCTACACTGGATTGCCTTCAGATAGCTTGGGAGTCAGATAACTCCACATCATCCAACATTTCTCCAGTGAAAATAGGGACATCCTGAGGAAAAGCAGGACTTTTCAGAATCAAATTAGAAACTGGGATGGCTTCTCAAAATTAGGGATGCCCCTGGAAAATAGGGGCACTTGGAGCGTCTGCAGGTAGGCAGGCAGGTGGGGGCTCCTTGAGGACAGAATCGGGTTGGTGGAGCTGTGCCCCATTTGCACTAATGAGCTAGGTTGCACTAGGCATCTTGGGGGAAAGGCCTGGAAACACTGCTTGTCCAATATGGTATTTTTATTGGAAGAAAATGTCTGGAACGGGATGTGTGTGTGCGTGCGCACAACACCCACCCACAGCATGAGTCCATGACTCTGCTGTACTGCTACCACAAGAGAGGAGGAGGAGGAGGAGGAGGCGGCGGCAAGTGGCAGGTGTTTGCAGGTGACTTTAACATTCCCACCCCTATTTTTCCTCTTTCCCTTTTGTAACAGGCAGCAAAAAGGGCAACAGAGTGTTGAGGATCACAGCACAAGCCTCAAGGAGAGAGAAAGTGCTGAAGGGGTAAGCAGCTGCACCACTCCAGACATTTTTCGATTGGGCTGATTATCTAGATCATAATATTTTCTTTTTTTAAGAGGGCACATAGGGGGACTTGGGGACCACAAAAACATTTTCACATACTGGTAACAATTGTATCAAGGGGAATGCAGGAGTAGTCAGTTTTAAAATAGACATCTAAAAATAAATTAAAAGCATTTTTTTAAAATGGACAAATTAGGGGGTCTCAGAAAATGTTTGGCATCTCAGTGAAGCAGTAAGGTAGAAGAAACATTAAGTTTTTAAAATTAATAGACAAATGGGGGTGCTTGGTGCACCAGAAAAAATGTTTGGTGTCACAGTATCAAAGCAAGGAAGCAGGCAGCAATATATATTTTTGAAAATGTGGGGAGGGAACTAAAATAAAATATTTAGGCAGGTTGTGGGTTTGCTGCCCTGATCTAGATCCATTTTAATCTGGGTTCGAGACTAGGTTCCGTGCTAAAAAACACCTTGATCACCCTGCTGAATGGCCAGCACTGGGAGAAGACATGCAGACAACTGTGATCCAGTCAGTTTTCTTAAGCCTCTCTGCAGATTTCAGGATCACAACCACAGTAGCTTTCTCTAGCCTGGCTGTTCAGGATGGGAGCTGAAGCAACTTCGCTACAGTCATTCTCATCCTACCTGCTGAAAGACTGTTTCCCAGAAGCTGGTGCTGGAGGAACCTTCTGCTGAGGCCCACAATGCATGTTTTGTGAGGTTCTGTAAGGCTGTGTCTTCTTCCTCACTTTGTTTCAGCATTGCATGAGTCCACTGAGTGAAGGCATAGAACTGTAGAATTGTATAATTCCGTTTAATCCCACTGCTTATAACTCTTTCTCTCCCGTGTGTGTGTGTGTGTGTGTGTGTGTGTGAAGTTTAAGTGTGTGAAGTTTAAGTGAGGCTTACATGTCATACATCTGGTGAAGTGGGTCCTAGTCCATGAAAGCTTATGCCGCAATAAATGTGTTGGTCTTCCAGGTACCACAAGACTCTGCTGTTTTGCAGCAACATATTCTGCTGCCCCACTGGGAAGTGTTGATATTTCAGTACTGAATAATTTGAATAGCTATTTTAATTCCTCCCACCAAATGTTTTCTGTAGCAAACAGCAGGCTAAGGTGCCACTTTTTTCTTTCTTTTTTAACAGAAGCATGTCTTTGTTCCTGTAACAACTGCCCAACAGACAGAATGAAGAAGAAGCCCTGCTGGATCAGACCATATGGCCATTTAATACAGCCTCCTCACAGCGGCCAACCAGATGCCTATAGAACATAAGCACAAAAGCCCTCTCCCCATTTCTGCTCCCTGGCAACTGATATTTCGAGAGACCATAAAGAAGAGCCCTGCTTATGGATTGAGCCAAAGGGTCTTTGGGTTGCCATACTTTGAAGAGAAAAAAGAGGACATATTTGCCAACATCTACTTTTAACTATTTGAGGGACGCGGGTGGTGCTGTGGGTTAAACCACAGAGCCTAGGACTTGCCGATCAGAAGGTCAGCGGTTCGAATCCCTGTGACGGGGTGAGCTCCTGTTGCTTGGTCCTTGGTCCTTGCTCCTGCCCACCTAGCAGTTCGAAAGCACGTCAAAGTACAAGTAGATAAATAGGTACTGCTCCGGCGGGAAGGTAAACGGTGTTTCCATGTACTGCTCTGGTTCAACAGAAGCAGCTTAGTCATGCGGGCCACATGACCCAGAAGCTGTATGCTGGCTCCCTCGGCCAATGTCACGACTGGACCTAATGGCAGGGGTCCCTTTACCCTTTACCTTTACTTTTAACTATGGATCTCTAAGGCAACTCTCATGATGAAAAAGAGGACCTGTCCTGGAAAAAAAGGGTATATGGCAACCCAGCATCCTGTACTCGCAGTGGCCAACCAGATGCCTGTGGGAAGCAGGGAAGCAGAGCCGGATTGTAGAACATTAGCCACTAATAGCATGCTCCTCCATGGATTTGTCCGACTCACTTTTAAATTTTTTTTACACTTTAGTAGCACTGCAGAGAGCTTGCTGGGGAGACCATGCATTAAAAAGGGACTCAAAAATAACTTAAACAAGGTTTTAATAACAAAAAGAAAAGCTCCTTATACACTAAATACATCAACAACAAACCAGACCCAACCACCAACCCATCCCCCAGGGTAATGGGAGAGCTAGGTGCTGCTCCTTATATACTACACCCAATTGCCGACACAGCTTGGTTAACACAACTCAGCAGCACCTGCTATGTTTCACAGCTGTAAGACTGGGTCTCATTATTTGCCCTGGCCCTTAAAGACATACACAACTTGTGACGCAATAATGAACCTTCACATTTTAAAGTGACCATTCAACATTAAAGCCATCCAGTTTGGTGTTCTCCTCTGGGAGTGAATGCCAAAGTTTAACTATGGTATGCTTTGTTCAAGAAGTATAACAGAATCCTAGAGTTGCAAGGGACCGTGAGGGTCATCTCCTGTGATGCAGGAGTCTCTTCCCCAATGCGGGGCTGGAACCCACAACCCTGAGATTAAAAGCCTCAGGCTTTGCTGACTGAGCTGGCCTTTGGTTTGCCCCGAATCTTCCAACATCCAGCTTCACATGGACCTACTGTTATGAGATCGGGAGACAAACTTATCCTGTCCAAGTTCGCAAGATGCATATATTTATATATTTCTACCATGCTCCCCGCACCAAATGCCCTTTCCTCCTAAACTAAGAACTCAATTTTTTGTGTGTGTGTGGGGGGGTACTTTTCAAGCTCTACAGTATCTTGTCTGAGTTGTGGAGACCAGAACTCTACACAATGTTCCAAGCGAAGCTTTTCCCAGCATGGAAAAGGGGGGAGGGGAGGTCTGCCCTTAACATCATCAGCGCAGGCGGCCAGGCGACGAGGAGAAACAGAAAGTCTTGGATTTCCACGACAAAGAGTCCTTTGGTACCAGAAAGACCAGCTGATTTAGTGTGGCGCTATCTGTCATGGAAGAAGACCACAGCTCCTCCGATGCGTGAATCCTCCTCCCAAAGAAGCGTCGAACTGGAATTGGCACACACGCATCCCCTGTCCCTTTAAAAGAGTTGCATAGAAGGGAGCATTCTGTCAGACGCTGTTTCTCCCAGCACTGCAGCGCTGTGGTGGGAAAAGCCACGTGGGGGGGGGAGAGAATCTCCGTTCTCTGCAACTCTTAAAGGAACAGGATGACGACGACGACTCAAGACCCCCCCTGCACTGAGCAGGCAACCCTGGTTTGGGCTCTCCCGAGTCTTTCCAACCTTCCCCGGGAGGTTCTAGGCACTGGCGGGTCGGCGCTGGGACCCAGGAGGCGCTTCCGACTGGCGCGCTCGCCTTCTCCGCCGGGTCCATCTGCTGGGTCCGTGCGCCTCCCGGATGCCCGGCTCCGACCAGCCCGGCTCTTTTGTTCTGCAGCGGCCGGGCGGCGAGAGGTTTCCCACCGGACGCTCATCTCCCCACCCACCGCCGGCCCATTGAAACCTTCAGTTGCCGCAGATCACAATGCAAAACAGGTAATAGCCGCTGCCTATGCCTCCTGGTTTGGGTGGGTAGCTCTCTCCCTCGCCCCCCGCTCCCCCTTCCTGCCCAGCCTAGATCACAAATGGGGCGGGCGGGGAAAGCTTTGCAGCTCCGGGCGCTTCTCTGCAGGCTGGGGGCGCAAGGAGGAAGGGAGGGAGCAGGACCCTCGATCTGCGAGGTGGGCGAGAGATGGTTTGCATTGCAACGGGTCTGCTCCCTTTAAGCGAGACTTGTTTGCGTTTAAGGGATCGGGGTCGAGCCGGGGATTGTTGTGATGAAGATGATTTTAACGCAAATGGTTGTTCTAATGCGTTCCTCCCCCTCTTACCGTTCCCTATCCAAGGGGAATCCAGCTCCCCTAGAAGCCCCTTCTGTTTATTTATTATTATTATTTTTTTAATAATTCCAAATGCCTTCGAGCTGGCTCGTGATGGGAGTGAGGGAAGGGCACTCAGCACATGCCCAGAGGTGCCCTCTTCCCTATAGTCGAGGAAAATCAGCCCAAAAACAAAACACAAAAGAGGGGGGCACTCAGGATCGTTCTAGAATCTGTCGCTAGATTCTGGAAGATTCATTGGCCCAAGGCTGCCAAAGTCTCTGTTCAGATTAAGCAACGAAGCTGGTTCTTATGTTATGGCTGTGACAGGGACTTGGTCACAGGAATTTAGCTGAAAGGTTGTGCATGACTCCCTTTTATCCAGTGTTAACAATCTGTAGGATTGGTGGATTGTGGAAATGAAATGAATTGGCTGTTGCTGATGGGGGAATCTCTTTTCCTAATTCAAATTGACAGCAACATGGTGAATTTATACTCTCCCTATTCATCTTTTCTTTTCCCCCTTAACATTTCCAGTAGTGGATGCTGTTGGACTTTAGCATTTGTTTGTTTGTTTAGAAAAGTGCAAAAGAGCTGGATTTGGCAACTTGATGCATAGCATGATAGCTTTAAAATGAATCAACCAGGGTTGTTTTTTAAAAGTATTTCTCAAAGTTAAATTTTGAAAGTAGGGTTAGAAAATGGTCAGAATTCAAATGCAATCCACTGAAACATTGCCAAGCTTCAGATCTGTGCAAAATGTATTTGCTGTTCTAGTCGGTTCTATTTTGTATTTCAACATATTTCTATAGAACTGGACGAGCAGCATCTGGAGAAAGTATTTGCAGAGAGGCTGGGAGACTGCTCTTTATCAGGAGATACCAGTTAAAAATGTATTAATATTCTGCTTGGGCTGTTTTCTAGGGCTGTTTGGAAATGGGTTCCAGAGCAGAACAGACTCAGTTCTGAGTCCTGCATTATAGCCGTGCCAAGAGATACCTGCTAGGTTTGTCTCCTGGTAATACAGATCTGCATCTAAGTAATGGCAAGAGGTAATTCCCAGCAGATAAGCAAGTGAGTTTCTGCAGCTGACATCTGCTGTATCTTGGGGATAGATGGCAACCCCCAAGGAGCCCTGGGAATTACATAGTTTGTGCAAACTATGTTTAGGGTACATATTCAAAGTCAAATCAAATATCTTTAATACGGTCAGTGACCAGGAAGCAATTTATAAAATATGACATTAAGAGTAGTATTGTGCTACAAGTAACAGTAAAAATATGGCCAATTCACAGAATTGGTGCTTATATTTATGACCAGGTTTCGACTTTTAAGTTTTTAAAAATTCAATTCAGGAGTCGCTACTGTTTAATACATATTCAAATGTCCTAAGCGTTCCTCCTTAACGTCTGTAAACAAGTCTGCTCTACTTGCAAAAGTGTGATGCACATTGCAATAAGGGATATAAGGCAAGGGTCACACATAGAATTGCAATCTCCTTCTTTCTATCCTTGCCTCAGAGTCAAAGCCCCCACCTCCTATGCATGATCAAACTTGGTTTCTTCTCAGTTATCTGGAATAGCTACCCAATCTGCATCCTTGGAATGGCTAATCCAGTTTAGAATTCCCACTTCACTCATGAGTGCATATTGAAAGCTGGAGGAAAACTGCACGCTTGATCTGCCCTGGGTTCTGGGTATGGCAGGATGGTTAAAATTAGATTATTGGTGTTAACCCTCTTGCTGATGCAGTGCTTGTTCAAGTTAGGGTGCACTCGCATGCAAATGTCATTAATGTACAGTGAATAACTATACACACAGTTATTCACAGATGCATGTCTTTGTGTATATGTTTTTGCTCACAGATACATTGTAGACATATGCATGTTTGCATTCCCATCCACAAGGGAAGATATTATCTGCAAGACTCTCTTATGACCAATTTAGACTGTGCACACGTGCAGACACTGTGTACCATTATATCCATGCTCGAGTGCGTAGTCACACCCACAATTCAGTGTATATTTTAAAAGAACTGCACATACGGTTAGAGATTCAGGTAAGTGTGCACAGAGTGCACATATACAGTTAGGGTTTCTTTTAAATGTTTTAGACTTCAGCCCACTTTGGAGGAGGCATTAACTGGTGAGGAGGCTGGGGAATTGGAATCTCATTCATAGTTTATGTAACTTGAGGGTTAACCCTGCTGAGTTCAAAAGGAATCACTTCCGTAAATGTTGCACTCTTGATCTCTAAGGTGCCGCAGTGCTTTTTGCCTCTGTAATTTAAGGCGCCTAGGGTACTAGCCAACGAAGCCATACTCCGAGTAGACCCACAGAAATCAGTGGGCCTACGCTGAGTGTGGCTCAGGTGGCTATAACCCCATGTCTTTTGGAATGAATACTTGGATGTCTTCTCGGGGTCTGAAATGCAAAGATGGTAGTGGCGCTTATACTTTTGCAGAAGACCAAATGCATTGCTGGGGTGGTGGGGTCTTCCTGGTGGGCTTCTCTGTGGTTCTCACTGTTCTCCCGTCTCTGCAGCGATGTCCCTGTAGCTGAACGCGCTCTTGTTCCTGGTGCCCAATGGAGCCATCTCACAGGTGGCATGTCGACAGGGGTGATGGGCATCCAGCGGAGCTGCAGGCAAAGGCTCGGGTGCTGGTGCCAGGCGGGAGTAGTTGGCCACGAGCGGAAAACCATGGCAGCGTCGGGCTTGAAAACCAGGTGATAGAAACCTGCCCCCCAGTTCCTTGGGCTCACTATATGCAGACCCCACTCAGCAATGACAGCCCCCAGAACCACACGGCCTTAGAGGACAGGCCCTCTCATCCCGAGATCTACAGCATTGCCCTGTGGGGGCCCAAACTGCATTCGGCGCTGACCAGGCACAGAGGGGGGCGGTCCAATGCACAGGCCTCCCCTCCGGCCTCCAAGCATCTGGATCCGCCAGGAGAGGGAGACGCCGCAGACGAAGGGTCCATGGTGTTGATTGATGCTGAAGGGGTCCCCCACACTGTGTCACGCCAAGAGGTCGAGCAGGCTGGGCAGATGCAATCCTCTGAGCCCGAGCTGTTGGCGTCAGCCCCGCCGCCCCGGCAGCTGTACTTCTGCCCCATTTGCCTACGGACGTTCCTGTACCAGTCGGACCTGGAGCGCCACAGCATCACCCATTCGGAGAGCAAGCCGTACGTGTGCCGCGAGTGCGGCAAGGCTTTCAAGCGCTCCTCGCACCTTCAGAGGCACAAGCACATCCACACCGGCGAACGGCCCTTCAGTTGCCCGGTCTGCCGCAAGGGCTTCCGGGAATCTGGGGAGCTCCTGCGCCACCAGCGAGTCCACACCGGGGAGAAGCCGTACCAGTGCCAGATCTGCCGGTTGCGCTTCACGGAGCGCAACACCCTCCGCCGACACGCCAAGCGCAAGCACGCCCGTGAGACCTACTACCAGCGCTCCGTCGAGGAGGGAGGCGGCAGCTGGACGACGGCAGGAGACTGGGAATCGGAAGTGGTGGCGGGAAGCGGTGACTGGGGGCCGGAGGAACTTGGGAGTGGCTGGACCAATGAATCGGTGGAGGACTGGGTCGGGGATGGGAGCCACTGGGGAGAAGCTGCAGAAGGCGGGGCAGGAAGCACTCCAGTAGCTATGTCACAGATACCAGAGACAGAACACAGCAAGGACAAAGACAAGCCTGGGATCCAGCCCTCATAAATATGCAAAAACTAGGTGGGGCGGGGGGCACCAGGGACTGGGACATGAACTCTGCCCTGCAACTGTCTAAAAGGACTTAAACATCTGTAACTGCATTGAGACTTTTCCTGCCCCCTCAAGTGAGGGCATGAGACTGAGGATAGGACCGTTTCCTAGAGCTGCTCTAGAATATTATGGCCTTTGAAGTATCAATCGGTGGGCATCACCAAAGACTGGAGAATGCTACTGGTGGACAGGGAAAAACATAACTGTCCCCTCCTTCCAACAATTATATCATGACATCCAGAGCTGTTGAGGGATTGGAGAAACAGTGTTATGTGTTAAACTCTGTAGCAGAGTATAGCAAATGAAACTGGGGAATTTGCTGTTTCTTGTGGTTTCCCAGAGGAATGGGTACTGGGTGATGTGTGCTCCTCTCCCGGTTTGTACCAAACAAAATGCCGATACACGTTGGTCCTCTGTAAGATTATTTGCCCCATTCTGAGTTGCTTTCTTGGCTCCTCCATGCAGTGGGGCATTTTCAAGTTTGCAAACTTTTCAATGAATTAACATATGCAAAAGAGCAGTTGTCTCCTTTTTCCTCCTTCCCCTTTCTTCCCCTGCCCCCACCTTTCCAAAAAGTGTGGCCTAAGGTTTGGAGATCTCTCCCTCAGCCCATAATGTGCGTGCTTGAGTCTAGAGTTTGAGGGAATTGAAATATCTGGGTACATGTGGAGTTCTATGTCTTTGTGTATATGTGTGTGTGCACGCACTTCTCAATAGGTGTGAGGCAAAATCCTAATGTGTAGGCAGAGATCCAATTTGAATACGTGTCTGGAAGTGAAGGACTGAAAGGAAGGACAAGGGGAAGGACAACAAGCCCCAATCCCTCCCTTCTGCACACTGCAGCCTTCTCTCCTGTTTCCCTCTCAACATCCAGAGATGATGTGCGCTTAATACCTCAGTCCTAAACACATACACTTACAAGTAAATTGCATTCAAATCAGCCAGAATTACTTTTAAATAAATGTGTTTAGGGCTGAGGTGTTAGGCCATCATCTGGTCCAGAGTGCCGCATGAAGCAAGATCTTGACAAAGAATGAGCAGGGCAGATGTGCCGGTGCTACCACTGCACCACAAAGGTTAACTCGTGCTTTCTCTGGATAAAGTCTTGAAACATCAATGTTTTGTGAAAAGTGCTGAAAATTCTGTAAGGAATCTCAAGCCCCTTCACAGAACTTACATTCCCCACTACTGTACTTGTAGACTGTTCAACCCATAAACTTTTGGGCTTCTCATCTACAATTCCCCCCCTAGCAAATTAAAAGAAGTGGGAGGCAGCAAGTTTACATAAACTCACAGTGTTCTCTTTGGGAAAGAACATGGCTGCTTTCAGTGGAGGCCCCCATTAGGGCGAATAGGGCAATGCCCCACCAACCTTAGTCTGCTTCCAACCAGCTGCCAGCTGCCTGCCTTCTTACATACAAGCAGCCTGGGGTGGCTGTGCCTGTAGCAGCTTCCTCCTCCTTAGTCTCTGTGTTGCCCCTTGTAGAACTCACCAGTGGAAAGGAATAGGGACTAAACTAGAATTATTTGGCTCTGTATCTCGTTGGCTCTGGCTCCATCTACTTTTGGGCTCTCTACTTTCTGCTGTACCAGTTCCAGTGTGTGACAGTCACCACTGGCTGTTTTAAATGGTCCCAAACAGAGCTAGCCCTACCATTAGGCAGAGTGGAGCAGCAGATTATGGGGAGATGGAGTGTGGGCATCGAAGTGTTGGAGGTCACATCTGTGTGTGGCATACAACCTGCTCTGCACCTTCTAAACTAGTCTGCTGACCTCAAGCATGGTGGAGGCTGATGTCCCGTTAGTTGCCAGTCCTCTTAGTTTCTGTGCATGGAATGAGAGGAGGCGCCATCTTGTCCTTCACCTCTGGTAGCAAATTGCCTTGTGTTGGACAGTGTCCCAATCAGGATATATTTGGAGGGAAGCAAAGGGGGAATTTGAGCTTTGGCAATGTCTGTCTTACATTTTGAAGGCAACTTCCCTAACCAAACACAAGGCATCTCTTACAGGGCAGAACACATGGGAGGAAGTGTGTGAGAGAGTATGCTGCAGATGGAAAGAAATCAGCATGGTGATTCTCCATTATTTCTGTTTAAAAAGTGTAGGCTTTTGATACAGGAAATGGTTAGAATCCCAAAAGGGGCAATGTCTGCAGAACTGAGACCACACTGTAATATTACCGTGACCCCGAGTTTTATAATTATTTTACATATATTTGGCATGTGATGTACATGAGGGTTGGATGTTTTCTCCTGTCTTTATGCTGTTGCACTTGATCTGAACTGAGATTTGCCCAGGTGCGTGATTGCACAAGCATTCAATGACCTGCTTACAAGGTCACATCCTTGTACTCTGTGTTACATCAGTATGAAAATAGCTAACATTCCCTTTCTTCCTGCCTCACAATCATAACTCCAGATAGAGGCTCCCATTTGGCTGCTTCCTTGCAATTCCTTTCCTAAACCAAGTTCTTATTACACAAGTAACAAGCAGTGTAGAAGCAGCTTGAGAAATTGTTGGCTGCTCAGTCACAACTTATGAATGCACAGTGGCTCCCCATATGGATCTGCCACTATCAAGTGGTTTTCTTCATGGCACTGCAAAACACTCCTACCAGTGGTTTACAACAGCTCAGAGAGAAAACAAGAGTGGAGGTCCAGTCTGCAAGGTGAGCCACTGCTCACGATTAATGACATAGAGCAATTCCCTCACTGATTCAGTTCCAAGTGGTGTGTCTAACAAGGTGTCTGTCCAAGCTGATGCTAAATGAGAACTTTATGAACATCCTTGTGGCAGTTGGAGAAAGCAGGGTTGGTTGTAGTCACTCCATGCTACTGAAAATGATGTGGACCCCCACCTTTCTAAACTGCAGATGATAAGAGGTGACATGGGTTGAACAGTGCATAAGGAGATATGAGAGCACTCAAAAATTCATTTTTGTAGATACCACTGCTTGCACCTCCAGAATTTCTCTTGAAGCCTAATTTCCTGTATCAAAAGCCTAACAGGGAGCAGAGAAGGCTTCATTACAAGTGTGCCGTGTGTGTGTGTGTGTGTGTGTGTGTGTCAGAGAGAGGGAGGACAGAAGCTGGGATAACTCAGTCAGTAGATAATCTCAGGGTCATGGGTTTGAGCTCCGTGTTGGGCAAAAGATTCTTGCATTGCAGGGGATTGGACTAGATGGTCTTTGTGTTCCCTTCCAACTCTACAATTCTATAATTCTATGAAATGAGTGGACAAGAGGGTGCATGTATGTGTGTGAGTGCCTGTTTTCAGCAGAATGGCAAATTAAAACTAGCAATCTGGCACGCGCGCGCGCGCGCACACACACACACACACACACACACACACACACAGTCTCCCATCCCTACTCTATTAGTCACGCCTTTTTAAGCTTTAAAAAGGGAAGCCAATATTTAAAATCTTGCTCATGCTAGCTGTACTGTTATCAAGGTCATTTCTATTCTCCATAGACAACACTACAAGAGGCAGGGGAAGAATGTGTAAACACCCGCTCTGAAAATAATCATCATCTCGTCCTCCCTTCCACTGATGTAGCTGGCACTGGCAGGCCACTCAAAATTGCAGCTGGTGGATAAGCAAGCAAACTTTGTTTTCCATTTTGCCCTCTGAAACATGTGAGAGAACCTACCCACTTAAAGCCCTTTCCCCCAGCTAATTTCCTCCCCCTAGTGCCACCAGAGATGAAGACAGTGTGTTCCAGGTCTGAAACCTGACTAGCATTGTAAAATATGGCGCCCTGTTTCGTGGAGGCCTTGCTGCCCATCCAACAAGATTGCCTCTCTTCCCATCAAAGGCTCTCCCTCTCTCTCCCTCCGCAAACTGCATGTGAGCTGGAGGACTGGAGCCAAGCTTTTGCCTTGAACTACCTCCAGGGCTGTCTTGTATGCCCAGGCCTCCAAGTTATCTTTGTTGCCATGGAGACCACCTTGAGCGCACAGTTGGGTTGTTACAAGCAGAATCTTTGTTAAGAAGGGCCTCAAGGCCTTGGCTGTCGTGAAGGCTGCAGAAGGATTAAATGGAAACACACTATCGCATCACTGTTTTCCTTTTTAGCCACGGGGATATGAAGCTCTTAAAAAAGAGAAACAAAATTATGGAAGCTGGGGTTTGGGATTCTCTCAGTGTAATACGCCATGCCAGTATTGTTTATGCCAGCTGGGTTTTTCCTCCCCTATGGGAGATAGCCCAAGACATCTGTTAAACCACTGGTCCAGTCCACGCCACATGGTGGCTGCTGGTTTGGATTATTTGGGGGTTTTTGTTTTGGGAAGCTAATGCCACCTTTAAAGATAGACAAATGGCCCTGTGGTGTTCCCTGTGAGGATGGAACTGACACCACGAGGACCTTTATCCACACAATATTGTCGCTCAAAATGGCAGGCTGGCGGGGCTGCTTGGGAGGAGATTTGCTCACAAACACCCAGACCGACTATCTGTTATTTAATGGCACTGTGTTTGAGGTGAAGTGATATGGAAGTTCTGCCTGTGGTTGTTTGGCTCACTAATTCACACATGCAGAGTTGATGCTCCAGTCCTGAGATGATAAATAGGCATGTGTCAACCACGCCTTAAAGAGACAAGAGTCTTAAGAGCTGGAGGTGAGGTTATCTGTACCTTTAGTACTCTCTCCCCCCCACCACCACATGCACAACAAAATCCAAAGAGAACCATTCAAATTAGAGCTATTTAAAACCTAAAGGTTCTGGTCTGTCCCTTTATTATACATTTATTGTATTTATAACTGTATTTTTATTTAAGAAATTATGTAATCTGCCTTGAGGACCCAGTTTGGGGACTGAACGGTGGGATAAAAAAAACCCTTAAATAAACAGACTAAATAAAATTCCCCTCAGGTTTCCTGTGTTTCTGGATATGGAAGATTGAGTGTTGGTAATACACATATTTAATCTAAAAATAGCGGGGTCAGGGCTCCTTGCTAGATGCCATGCCTGCAGATGGTTTACAAGCAATTGGAATTTCACTGGGCCAAAATTACGTAATAGGCTATATAACTAGAATTTTTCTTTGGTGTTTTATCTCCCTGCTACTTTTTAGATAGTTATCTTTCAGAGAAGGGATGCTTCCCCTCACAAGCATCAATGCATTTTTTTAAAAGTACCTCCTTACAATTTCCACATGCTCAAAGTGCTATCAGTAGTGCCAATATTTTTAAGCAGAAAATTGGGCATCTCTCCTAACCTGAGATAATGGTCACAATTCAGGGAATAGTTCTGAGGATACAGTGACCGTGATTACCCAGGTTGAGGCTAACTGATAAGGTGGGCTCTATCTGTATCATACATAAATGTGAAGTGTAAGTTTCTGGAACTTACCAAACCTTTGTGGGGTCTCCAATGGAAATCTATTTAACAACTTTAAGGGCCAAAACTTCAAAACGTTTAGCATTGTGAGCCCTTCTTCCATTCTAGCACACAGTGGCACCTCTTAAGGCGAGGAGAGTAAAGTAGACTGAAATTTGCTGTTCTGTGTGAT